TAAAATCTACGTATTTACGTGAATAAAATTTAGAAGAGTTTAATCAAGGTAATATATAGTAATATAAAGCATCTATACTACTAACTACTACAGATACTACATTTGTTCTAATATTTATTGCACTTGTAACATTTACAGGTAATATTATGCTATCTTTAGGTATCTCTGAATTAGACAAACCAGCTAAAAAAATCATTATTTTATCTAAACTGTCTTTACTTGTTATTTTTTGAGCTACTTGAAAATACAACGAAGATCCTGTTTTAATTCCAAAAGTACCTTCTGCTTCTATAAAACCAATTAATCAATGAGGGTTTATTGTAATTTGAGGTCCTGTAGTATCATATTTAAAGACTGTTCTGCCTGAATTCATTCCATCTTTAATAGATAGAATTTTTCCTTTATCTGATTCAGATACATTTCCATTTTTACTTTTAGCTTTGATAAGAATAGCTGTATAAAAATCTAGATAATCTAGTTTTTTACTAGTATGTAAAGGAAAGTTATTGAATATAGGGCATAAAACATCTTTTAACTCTGAAAAATCTTGTACTACAAATGCACAACTACTTCTTTTTTCTTCTATTATAATTCTACCTATATTTAAATTAGATTTAATAATATTAAGAACTTCTATATCATCTATATGCAAATTAATTTTAAATCTAAATCTAATATAAGTACGATCTAAGAAAATAGAAAAATTTCCTTCTCCATCTGTAAACCCTGAAAATCAGAATAAAAATTCTTCACTAACCTTTAATTTATTTTCACTTAATTCAGTAGAGAAATTTCTTCTTGCAAAGCCTAATCTGTTTGTGGTCAAGTTAGAGCAAACTGAACACGAAACTAATGATAAAAGACTGCTGTTTACTTTCACAGAGAAGGAATTATAAATAGTTGAAAAGCCATTAGACTCCATTTTATTTTTAGAACCCCCTTCAAATATATACATTAATAAGTGTATATTATCTGTCAAGGATAAAAAGATAATCATTCTTTATTATTCTTTTCCTCACAGAAAAGGTTGGACTATATCATCTACATAGTCTAATCATAAGTATGTAGTCAAGCGTATTAGTCTCTGAGGATCCTACTTGAATAATTAAACATCCTTTGGTTTCCTGCTGATTTTCTTAAATTATATAAAGATTAGATAATATTAAGATCTTCCAGCATATAGCCTGATTTAATGAGCACATTATGATTTATGCTCAACTGAGTTAAATGCTTCTAAAACACTAGGATTGTAGTGCATAGCTAGAGTTACTCCAGTTACTATTTGTATAACTAAACAAACAGCTAACAATGAACCAAAATTTCACATGTAACTTAAATTACTTGGTTGTGAAGCGTCTATAATATATCCATTAGCTAATTTTAATAAAGGATGACTTTTTAATATTCTCATTTTGTATTTTTTTTTTTATAATTAACAGATAAAGATCGTTAAACCAATAGACTAGCTAAAACAATCGATTGTTTTAATTATAACACTCTATCGTGTATAATATACATTTAATTAAGTAAATATGTTTTTAACATATTCACCTCTTATTAATTTATAAAATTTGTCAGGCATCAGGCAGTCAGGTTAGATAAAAAAAATTAGACTATACAATCTATCTATCTATCTATCTATCTATCTATCTATCTATCTATCTATCTATCAGGCTTATATTGTAATAATACTAAGCTCACTATATAGATACTCACCACGAACTCATTGATAATGATATGTTCGCAAACGAACAATAGGTTAGGTCGCCTCCTTGGCTGCGCTAAAAGTCAGGCAGGATAGGGGGGGGCGGCTTGGCTTCTCCTCCTACCTACGTAGTGCTTCACAGCCGACCGATACTTCTGGCTGGCTACTACTAAGCAGCAGAAAAGTCGGCAGGAAACCTTAATACAACTCCCCTCCCCTTAATAGTACGGCACAAAATAATTAAGCGAAAACTAGTCCATATCCCCTATAGAGCTTCAGTAGCCCCCGGGGGGCTCGAAATAAAAAGTAATTAAATTTATAATAACTCTAGCCAAATATTTAATTTACTTATTTTAGGATAAAAAGAAAGGAAAATATTAAATAAAAATTTACGTATTCAAAACAAGTGAATCCTATACACTAATAAATTTAATTTTATAATACGACTAGCTGCTATTTATATTTTATATATCCTATATATAACCAAAACATATATAAATATTTAAACTATATACTAAGCAGCATTTAAGCCACCAGTGATCCAGTCTGTCGCGATATTTTACTATACCTAGCGAAACGAGATCTTTGTACTAAAGAAGCATATTTAACCGTTTTCTTGCGAAGCAGCAACCAATATTGCTGCAAAATCACAAAAAGCGAGTTCTAAGTAAATATTTCCTCAGTAAATTGTGCAACTATCTATAACTAATAAATTTGAAAGCAACGCCCAACTCCGTAATCTTGGGATTCACCTCCATATCTCCACTAGATGTTTCATGGAATGAAACAATTTGCGGTGAAGCCACCATTGACAAAGGCAAATCAAAATACCCATTTTCCTTAAGATGTTCTCCCGCATCCTGCTTTAAGATATCTAGAAGCGACTGGAAATGACGGCGCTTTTGGGTAACCCTTTTAGTTAATTCCCTTTCAACTGAAGAAGGTGAAATCAACTCTCGTATCCTTCTGTCTCTAACTCTGGCTGATTTCCTACCAGACATCGTAGCCGTGCGTGCTCTTGATTTTTGGCCAACTAGCAAAAAATATTAGTAAAATTATTAATACTTATCTCTCCTGCTGACCTAGTATACTAAGCAGAAGGGATCAAATACAGGGGAGGGTTTACCGTATTTGAAGGGATTTACTAGGTAGAACTTACTCTTTTTCCCTAAACATTCCCGAATCCTAACCAAAGCCTTTTCCTTGGCTTGCCTTGAAGGATTTCTCCTTATTGCAGAAATGGCAGGTGCAACCCGAACCGCTGATTGAGGTTGTATAGGCAAAGCAGGCTCAAGAGAAGCCAACCTGGCATGGTTTTCAATGTGAACATCGTCGTAGAAAAAGCCCTCACGATCCTGAGAATTATCGTGGGAAAAAGAGGTTGGAGGTAAAGGAGGAGACAAAAGCTCGGGTGATCTTATCACAGGGATTGAATCACGGGGAACCAATTCCAAAAAGGGATTAGGTTGTTGTCGAGTACTTGGACTGCCCAACGTTTCTTCGCGCCTATCTTCGCATGATAAGCAAGGGCAATTGACCGAAAATTCGTGAGGAACAATTGGATTTGCAGGCAGAGGAGGAGTATTTAGAGTATCCGGAATTGTATCGCGCTTGTCTTCACACCAAAAGCAAGAGCAAGCGTTCGAATACTCGTGGGTATCTCTATTGATCGAGATTGATACTAAAGGCGAACAAGAATTAGTCCAACCAGTAATCCTAAGATAAGAAACATTATTCTCACCTTTAGAAAGAGGTTCATGCAATTGACCAGAAGGTTTTCCTACAGGCGACTGAAATGAACGAGGAAGACCATCCGCCAGAGGAGTTTCAGGTCTAGGTGGCTGAAATGAAGTAGGACCACCATCCTCCGCTATGATCCAGTCCTCCTCCCCAATCCCCTTCTCCTGCTTAATATCGCGAGAAGAGAGAGAAGAGGTAAAGGAAAAGTGAGAGGAAGAGTGAGAGGAAGAGGAAGACAGATAAGTAGAAAAAAGTCTGGACTGGAATTGAGAAGCCATTGTATATCACTAGCAGGGATAAATAAACAAACTATGATTTAGTGTCTGGATAGATATATGAAAGGATCAGAAAACTTGAGTGAGTTTCAGGGATATTCCTTGAAGAAATCGAAGGGGATGTTACTTAAATATACTAGTTTTGCGACTACGTACGCAGCCGTGGTGAAAAACAGCAAGGGTAATCCAAGCCAGGAGGCCTCCTTTACAAGGAGGCCTCCCTCCGGGATCAGTAATCACCATATCATCCCTTACTCCAGACCCTGGTCTAGACGCTGGGCACAGGATCCTTGATTCACCGTCAAAGGCCAAGATCATTCGATTTTGGGGGGGGGGCGCAAGCTCGAAAAGGTAGATCTTCCACCTAAAGGGTGGACGCCCCACGCTTCGAGTGAAGATCCCAGCCTAAATAGGCTCTCCCCTTCCGCGAATATCTTTCCGTTTGCCACTTTCACCTGATCAAACAAGCCTTAATTAGTAACACCCACCTTAATTGGTCAGCACCCCCACTTCGATTCGTCACACCGCCACTTTGATTTGTCATACCCTACTTTGATTCGTCACCACCCCCACTTCGATTCGTCACACCGCCACTTGTTTCCTCATACTAGCTATCTATCACCTGATATATCATCAGGCAAACTTGAATTTATTACACAAGCCAAGCTTTTGTTCCTGCCGAAAAATGCATCCACCTATAATATCAATTATTTAGCTATCTATTGTTTCATTTTCCAATCATCTGACCAGTTCACATGACGATCATAATCTTATATGGTTCGATTCTGAGTCTTCTGACCGGTTCACATGATAATCATGATGTCATATGGTTCGATTCTGAGTTTTCTGACCGGTTCACATGACAATCATGATGTCATATAGTTCGATTATGAGTCATAGAAACTTTTTGCCTAATGAGTGTAACCTTAAGTTACCTTTGATACCTCGGTTAAAGCCAGATACCTCGGCTTTTAATTACAAATCAAAATTTTCTCCACCCTGGCTACGCAGAAGTTAGGAGAGTTCGATGGCAAAGACCAGCGCGTGATTTTTGCTACAGAAAACTATATATAGGGGAGATTTCCTTCCTTCCGAGAAGCCATAATTATCTTTATTCACAGTCAATCACCATCAATCACAATCAAATCAATCAGAATCAATCAACATTTACCACAAGCAACTTTTGCGGCAAAGCCCAGCAGAATAAAATCCCTCACCAACACCAACACCAACACCAATACCAACACACACCAAGACCAACACCAACACCATCAAGCATTATGGCTTCTTCATCCAAGATCGTTCAATCTACTATGGATTACTCTTTTCTCCGCAATCTCAACAAGCCTTACCTCAAGATCAAGGCTGGAAAGGGGAATTACCTTCAGACCACCGATGGGCGGAAGGTGTTCGATGCAGCTACTGGTGCAGCTGTCGCTTGTCTTGGCTACGGAAACGAAAAAGTCATCAAGGCGGTCAATGACCAGATGAACACCGGAATTGCCTACCTTGCTGCCGCATTCTGGCGCAACGACGTTGTAGAGGAATTATGCCAGGAACTCATTAACGGTACCGATGGGAAAATGGCCGGAGTCTACTTAACGGGATCAGGTTCCGAGGCTATGGAAGCCTCTCTCAAGCTATCTCGTCAATATTTCTACGAACAAGACAAGCAAACGCCCCGTGTCAACTTCATCGCCCGCGAGAGATCTTACCATGGGAACACACTTGGGGCTTTGAGTGTCTCAGAATTTCGTACCCGAAAAGAACCTTACACTCCATACCTCATGCGGGAATATGTTCATCACATTCCTTCATGTTATACTTATCGTCAGCAACTAGACGGCGAATCCGATCCTGACTTTATTAGTCGGAAAGCAAAGGAACTCGAGGATGAATTCCAGCGGCTAGGACCCGAGACAGTCGCCGCCTTCATCGCTGAACCAGTTGTGGGCGCCGCCCTTGGCTGTGCTCCCTATGCCCCAGGCTACCTCAAGGCTATGAAGAAGGTTTGCCACAAATACGGTGCTCTCTTTATACTTGACGAAGTCATGTGTGGAATGGGTCGAACGGGCACTTTGCATGCATGGCAAGCAGAGAACGTTGTACCTGACATCCAAACCAACGCCAAAGGACTTGGTGGCGGGTATCAACCCATCGCTTCTGTGATGCTATCTGAAAAGATACTCAATGTGGTGAAGCAAGGAACTGGAGAATTCATCCATGGGTTGACCTACGAGGCTATGCCTGTACAGGCAGCAGCTGCTCTTGAAGTCCAGCGAATCATTCGCGAAGAAAATTTGCTAGACAATGTCTCTAAGCAAGGAGCCTATCTACAGCAACGTCTTCGCGAGGTTCTTGGAAATCACCCTAATGTTGGAGACATTCGAGGAAAAGGTCTTTTTTGGGGTCTGGAGTTTGTGGAGGATAAAGCGACCAAGCAGCCATTCGATCCGAAACTTGGGATTGCTCAGAAAATCCTCGACTTGGCTATCTCACCCCCATTCAACATGACTGTTTACCCAAGCACAGGTTGTGTTGATGGGATTAAGGGAGATCTCTGATTATCCTCGCCCCTTCCTACACTATAACGGAAAAGGACGTTGATCATATTGTCACGACCGTTTCGGAGGTGATTCGCTCAGTTTTTTCTCAATTGTCTCATTGAAATATTCTGAGTACTGCCTTCGTACGAAGGCAGCTGGAGGATTAGCTGAAACTTGTTTATTTCCTTTGGTCATTGGCTATTTCCTTTGGTCATTCCTTATTTCCTTTGGTCATTGGCTATTTCCTTTGGTCGCTCGCTATTTCTTCGGTAGGCAGAAAAATTGTAAACTAAAAAAAAATGGATAGCTCTCCCTTATCCCCGGAGAGAATCAGAAGGTAGCATCAGATTGAATTGAATTGAATTTATTTTTTTTTCTAAGATTAATATCAGCGAAGAAGTAGCCAATAGAAGCCAAATTTGTAAAATAAAAACTTTAGATTATACAACTGAAACCCCCCCCCTTACGACCCCTCCCTCTCGTACAGAATTTAATAAATTTTATTTTTTTTTTATACATTTGAGACAAATAATAATACCTAATAGTGACATTTGCCCATAAGGTAAAAAATTCTAAATTACTTTTATATTATTCATCCTGCCAAACAAAGTACGCTTATCCACAAAATGGATTTCGTTACGGCGTAGCCGTACGAAGTCATAAAGACTTTGTCATCAGGATGGATAAAAAATTAAACTATATGATCTATCATAATACTATAATAATACTAAGCTCACTATATAGATACTCACCACGAACTTATTGATAATGATATGTTCGCAAACGAATAATAGGTTATGGCTAATCCCGAACAAAGTTCGGGATAAGTAGAATAGGGGGGGTGGATTGCTAATAGTAACCCCCTAATATTGACGCAAGATCTAATTAAATAAAAAGTACGCATTCGGACGAAGGAGTAATTAAACACAGAAATAACAGCATATTAACCTATACTGTAAATTAAAGTTGAAACACTATAATGTAAACCATCTAAAATGAAACTAGGATATATTCCAAATAAGACAGTAAATGATACTAATATAAATAAGATAAAGAATTCTCTTTTATTAACGTCACTTATATTTTCTTCGAAGAATTTACTAAATGAACCACCAAAAGCTATTCTGTTAAACATATATATTGTGTAAGCAGCTGAAAGCACTATAGAAGAAGCGGCTAAAGCTCCCAGTATAGGTAATCTTTCAAATGCACCGTATAGTGACATAAATTCACCTACAAAATTTAGAGTTAAAGGAGTTCCACAATTCGCTAAGCAAAGAATAAAGAACAGAACTGAGAACAGTGGCATTAATTGAGCCATTCCACGATAGAAAGCAATATTTCTAGTACCTGATCTATCATATAAAACCCCACCAGCACATATAAATAGACCACTACCTAGATAAGCCGCCTATATAGCAAAGTATGCGCTACCCAACCTTCCTAATCCCCGGAGGGGATCAGAAGGATACTTATAATAGTATACCAATAATCCTAAACTCACCTTATTCTTACTAATCGCGAACTTATAAAGAAATCCTACCGACGTAATGTAGAAAAATATAGTTTAGTTACGTCTTAGATAAAGATCTTAAAATGACGACGAAGTCGCAAAACAAATAAAAAATCTATTTATGATCGGTTTGTATAGTATCTTTGTCCTTCTGTATAGTATCCTCCTCTATAGTATTTTTAGTTCTCTGTATAATTAATATAGAGTCTTTTTTTAAATCATAACGAATATTATAAATTTGTTTAATAAAATTACCTAATTTAAAAATGATAAATCTAGAATGATACATAATTTCTTCGTTAGACAACATACCATCTTTAACATAAATATAAAATTTTACATTATTTACATAACCTGACTGACTAAGACTAACTTTTAAATCACTAGTACTAATATGATTATAAACTTTTATGTCTTCTATTTTTTTCCGCGTGTACTAGCAAAAATATGGAGCTTGCGCCGTAATAAAATATAATTTCCTGGAGCTTGCGCCGTAATTGGGATAAAATCTCTATTAAATTTAATCTAAAATCTGTTAAATTTATTGAATCTATTCAAAAATCTGTAGAATTTTGAAGTTTTCTACTTTTTTTGATTATTTTCATATCCTCATGAAATTTGGATAACTTAAATATAGCTAAGTTATTAGCAAAAACTATTTTGTCTGGACTTGAATTAATAGTTACTAAATCTTTTGGATAATAATGTGATCAATTTTCAGACATTTCTTCATGAATCTTAAGAGTAATCTCAGATTGATAATATTTAAATAAACTACCCTCACTATTAACACGAGAATGATTAAGATTAACATAAAAGACTTTTAAAAAAGCTTTTAGAAGTCTTTTGAAAAAACGATATTGATATATCAAATATATCAAATATAACCTTTGTTCGTATGTTAAATTATAAATCAATAAATTATAAAGCGATCCATATTCTATTGTTAGTATTAATACTACTATTATTATTATTATTAAAATTGTTTTCATGTCTTTTGTATAAAAAATTTTTTTATTTGTAATTTACAAAATATTGAAGGAATTTCATATAAGCATGCGGTTGCTCCTAGAATTTTATAGATGAATTTTTTGTCATCAAAATAATAAAGTCGTATAAAGTAGATACCTTATTTGATGTATATGCTGTGTATACCTTATATTAATCGACCCCTAAGTATCTCCCTTATCTTCCTTCGGATAAAGTAAACCTTAGTAGTATTTTCACAAATAAATTACCTGAATTTAACCACACCAATTTCATTTGTTCAAACGTCAGAGTAAGGGGTGGTATATTATAACTCTCTGACCTAATTCCAAACACTTAATTATAACTTTTCAATTAGACGTATTTTTATTTATGTATTATTTATTCCATACGACCTGGAGCAACCAATATCTACCATAATTTCGAGTTCATAAATAAGATGCTAGGGAATAACTAGTAATGGGGGAGACTCGAACGAAAATATGGAAATAAGGTTTATTATCATCAATATTGTAAATATTGTAAATATTTGAAGCAATAAATTTATATTTTTGAAGCAATAAAATTCCCTATATGCAGTACATTCAATAACCACATCCTCTCTCCTTATAATACTTCCCTTACTAATCACCAACACGACTAATTAAAGCGGTGTAAACCGTTTTAAATAGCTAATTATAGCAAAACAAATAAAAGGTAAAAATATTTGTCGAGGAATACTCAGCGAGTAAATAAACTGAGGTTTGCTTGTTAGAAGATCCTCCTCCTTTACGACCTACCAGCACATATAAATAAACCACCGGCACATATAAATAAACCACTAGATAAAACAATAACACGAGTTAAAACCTAACCTACTACGTAATATTTATTTATTGGATTATGTTTACTAACTAACAATTTGTTTGTATTAAGGTACCTAGCAATTCTCTTTCTATCCTCATTTAAATATTTCCCACAATCTACTAAAGAAGAAAAAACTAATTCATTACCTTCAGGATCAATTAGTTTAACATCCAGTCTTACTCCTACTTTTTTACCAGTAGAAATAGTATAACGGTATCCTTCTTCCTCATTGTAAGCATAGATAGGTGAAAGAGATAAAACATGGTTTATTCTTTCTTTACTGATATCTAAAGACAAATTATTATTTTTACCAGTTGTTAGTCTATTATTGTTCATTCGACTAATAAGGTCTGAAGCTAATAATAAACCTTCTTTATGAAATTGTAAACCTAAAAAACTTATTTTTACAATAACGGATCAGTCCAAATAATCTAGCATCTTTTTACTACGAAAAAAAGAAGATTGAAACAAAGGTATAAAAACATTATGTAAAAAACTACAGGATTACCAATTGTTATAACATATGCCGATTGTTCTGTATGTTTTTCAGCCTCCATAAGAGACCTAGATACCTTAAGATTAATTCCCCCCTTTGGATATTGAAAGATCCTCCAGGTAAACTTGTATCGCATCCATTAATTTCTCTTCTGCTACCGTTTGAGAAAGCCTTAAATCAGTTTTAACCCCCATTTACTAACATTCGCATAAAAACCTCCATCACCCTCAATAAACCCAATTAATCAATCTAAAGTTATTCTAATAGTATGTGTAGATGGGTATGTAAAATCAGTTCTTCGGTTATTTAATTGAAGTAATAAAGTTTTAATTTTATTTAAACCTTTATCTGTACGATACAATCTATCTTTGTTCATATAATACACCTGCTTAAATATAAGGTAATCCATATATTTAGTGGAGTTAAGAGGAAATGTATCTAAAACATAAAAAAGGATATTCTCTAAGTTCTCTCCTTTCGTTATAGAATAAACAACGCTATTTCTTTCTCTGTATATAGTTCCTACATTTAACTCTTTTTTTATATTTTCCAAAACAGCTAAGTCATCCTTATGTAGAGAAATTCTAAAAGAAAGCTTAGCACGACCATTGCTATATAAATAAACCCCAAAAAGACCCTCGGCATCTACGAAACCTACAAATCATTCCATAAATTTAGTTGATAATCTATACAATTCAGTTGACGAGTAAGATCTGGTTAATAAGGAATTAAGACAACTCTTACTAGAAATACATAAACTACCTGAATTTACAAGTAAAAG